ATGGGACCAATTATGGGTATTTTTGTACAGGTTAGCTAGAAGCACACATACTTTGTTTAGCTCAGATCTCAAAAATAACCTTTTGTTACTAATGTGTTCAAATTGATTTCGGGTAGGATTTGATTCGGCTGGCAATTGGGATGACCACCAAAGAGTTTTTGGTCTGGATGGTCAAGATATGTATGCGGTAATGAGTATTTTAATTTGCATTAGTATATTTTGTGTATGAGTAGTAACATTTCTTGATATTAATCATGATTTGGGTATCTTATATTTTTCTAGGGTTCACAGAGTGAAAGCTTTCCATATGTATATTATACACCAAGCTACGGGTATGCACAATCTGTATATAGCCCTTATACTCCTGGTGCTGTGGTAGGAGTTGACACTTCATATATGGGAACACAGCAGTACTACATCATTCCTTCTTATGAAAACCCGGAGTATGCCCAATCATAATTCCCAATGGTAATGCAAAACGAATCTGATATTGTGGCAAACAGTAAAACCCCATTCCTTGATAGTTCCTTTTCTTCTTCTAATATAGCTTAAAGCCAGGGTGAACTGGAAAGCAACACATATCATCATTCTGCATAAAGTGGATTGCTTGAGTAGTTAGATTTGGAGTTTTTAATGATATTCTTGAAAATCTATATGTGGGGGAATAATATAGGTTACTAATAATTTGTGTGGTGATTTTAGATTGAGCCAAATCCATAAAACTGCTTTGGACGGTGGTCTAACAAACATATTATCCAATAACTTGCATTTTGCACCCCATCATGATACACATGAAAAATCAAATTATCAGTACATAGCTAAAAATTAACGCATTGAAAATTTCATATAGAGTATATACTGGCTTCATATGGAGAATTTCCCACTGCATTCCTTTTCACTTTATGGCTTTTTTACTTTAAGCCTTTTGTGTAAATATTGAAAAACAAGATGTAGCTTCTTTAGTTTCACATTTCAATTTTGTTTTCTTCAAACAACCATGCTACACTTACATCAAAAAATGCATTCCAAAGTTACACAAGGTATACACTAACATTTTGAGGGTTCACACTGACACAAAAATGCTGGTGCATTTACAAAAATTTGCACTGACAAAATGTTGGTGCGTTTACATTTTGAGGGTTCACACTAACACAAAATGCTGCTGATGAGTAGATTAATAGTGAATACATGTGATGTGTTAGGTATGTTATACATTAGTAGGAAGTATAAGTTTTCCATTATAAGTTTCAAAGTTTTGTAATTCCATATATTAACCACTTAAATTTACATAAATACTTAATTTCATAGTAATTCTTATTTTGGATATCTCTAATTTTTCCGAACTAATTCTTAATTTAGTATATTGAATATTTTGGTCATGTGGATGCATAAAAATTCAACCGTATGGGAATATATACCCAAATATGACTCTTGCCACTAATTGAGGATTGTGACTAAGGTTATGAGTCTCTTTGCAGATATGCTTAGAAATCAAGATGATGCTCAAAAGGTTTATACATGAAAATTTGCCAAGAATGCAGATATGCCATTAATACGTGAATGCTTTGGGATGTAGAAGCCTAAACTAATCGCCAGCTTGGAAGTGTGCCTATACAAGTAAGGTTTATGAACAGGTCTTGGGATGACTTTGTGATGTGAACAAAGAGATTATGAAGAGCAATCCTAAATATTTTTGGTGTGGTCACATTCCTCCATCTACCCCAACTCGGCCTCATAGATGGGTTTGCCAACCCATACCTCATAGACTAAGAAGAAAATATTATCATTGTTCCATGGGCTGCTCTTTTTTATGCATTTGGAAGGTCAAAAATAGCAAAATCAATTAGAGTGGTCAAGGAAAAAGAGGATATATAATCTATTAAAGATAAATTCTATAGTTGGTCCGTCAAGTTATTGCATAATGCATGATTCGTCTTTCCACTTTGAAAATTTTACGAATAGTTCTTTAAGTCCTGTTAGTGTTGCATGGTTAGCCTTCCACTTTAAAAACTCTTCGAATAGTCCTTCAAGTCACATTAGTGTTGCGTGAGTAGTATTTCCGTTAATTTTGTTGATACTCCATACATTCTTTTTGTTTTACATTATAAATACACGTGAGAAATCTTCTCTTTTTTCATACAGTTAAGTCATTTTTTATAGATTCATTTTAATTGAATTATTGCTAAAAAAATCATACTTGGTTAGTTGTAACAAGATATAAAAGTCTTTCATAAGAATTACAATGGTATTAAAAGTATTTTGAGTAAAATATAAATTTTTAATAACTATTAATCTATTTTTTGTATGAAAATTTATTGACTTAAAATATAGCTCATCTTATATCATCCAAAAAAATAAATATGAAAATTTATCAAAGAATATTAGTGCTTTATGGGTCTTAATGGTATATTCAATAATTTTAATAACAAAAACTCTATGATTTAATTTATTCCATAACTTTTTTTAAAAATTATAATTTGCTTAAATATATAACAGAGAATACAAAAAATACCAATAGTCTTTAATACTTTATTTATGAAATAAGTAGTGCTTATAAAATATAAAAAAATATTTATTTTAAAATAAAAATATTTAAAAAAAGGAAATATAAATTTTAAAATTATTTTTTTCATCATATTTTAGTAGGACTTTTTAGGCCTTTTATTTTTCTTTACTAGAACATAATTTTTCATTGGAAAAAATATAACTCCCTCTTTTACAATGACAACCAGATTTTCTCTTTAATTTGTTTAAAGGCATTGATGCAAGAAGTTTTCATTTTATGACAATTGTAAGAAAATACAATTGGATGTTTTCATTCACGTCATTTGATGGAAAAATACAAAAGTCTCAAAACTATGACCGAGCAACTCCGCAGTTTACAATTAAGGTGAAAAATGATCACAATATTGGATCTTTATTGGCACAAGAGGGTGTTGTTCCAAAATTCACTCAATTATACATATATGTTACCCAGAATGAATTCTCAAACAGAATGAGTCATTACAGGTACTTAAAACATGTCATGTAATTTATTCATACTCCCTCCGTCCCCAATTTGATTACGAATTGCGGGTTACGGAGTGAAATTTTCTACTTTTTGAAATCATTTTATTTACAAATTGGTATATCAATAAGATATAAAAATTATATATTAAAAAACTACGTCAAAAGTTCTACAAAACAAGAGGTGACAAAAATATTTTATTTTATCAAATACTTAATGAAATCGCATAAACAAACAAAAGTTATCAAGAGGAGAGAGAAAAAAATTGTAATCTATTTAGAGACGAAGAGAGTATGTCATATCATTTGAAATTTGTCATGTAAGCTGACAAACAGAATGAGACATTACATACCACAGATGAATTTGGTACCGTCAAATCCTGGATTACCATTTAAGTTTCAAAGAAGACAATTTCCAATATCTTTATGTTTTGGCATGAAGATCAATAAGAGTCAAGGCCAAACATTATCATTTGTTGGATTATTCTTGACCAAATCGGTATTCACTCATGGTAAATTTTATGTTGCAATTTCACGAGTGAAACTAAGAAAGGATTGAAAGTCTTAGTTTAAGATGACAACAATAACCCTTGCAATTGCACCAAAAATGTGGTTTATCCTGAAGTTTTCCAAAAAATTGGATGTAATTAATACATTTATATGCTCTTTTCAATTTTTAAATACATGAATTTTAGTTAGCATACTCTGTTTATGTCATATCATTCATTAAACTTCTAACATTGTATATTAAAATTAGCTATATTTTTTAATCATTTACTAAAACCAAAAACTTAACAGAGTTAAAAACAACATGCGTTCAACCCCGTGCGGCTCTCTATGTCCCACCACACTAATATCTTCGCAGCCGAGTAACGCGGCTCGGCCGGCTCCATCGAAGGAGATGCTCCCCTGCCCAAAACGCTCATCGATTCCACAACTTCCGGTGACGAATCTCAGTCGTCCAATGAGCGAAGTGCGGAGCGGAAACGAGAAGACAGTAAACCATAGGGGAGTTACCCCTGATATGATTAAAAAGTCTTCTTTCTATTCCCAATACTAAAGCTCATAGACCAAATGGGTTCTCTAGTGGATGCTTCAAGATCCAATGGAAAAAAACTGGGGATCAACATTTATGGAATTTTTGCAAAGTAAGAAAATCATGAAACATGTCAATACTAATTATAGAGTAGCACTCATATTTGTTCGGAAGTCTCAATCTGTCTTTGGGCTCTAATACTTCATCTAATAAGATCATGAAGAAAGGAGAATACTGGGGAAGCTTAAAAACGAAGTATATGACTCATTTGAGGAATTAACAATCAACATCTCTTAAAATAGTGGTGACAAGTGTGATTTAAGAAAAAAGTAAGAAACCAAACCTTAAAAAAAATCAAAAATTTTTAATCCAGAGATGTGGTAGGTAGGGTATGATAAATAATTCATTGATTTTACATAATCCAGGGACTTTAAATAATCTATCAAAATTTTTTAAAATCTGAATTGAATACAACCCTGTCTCTCCAACTTATATATTTTTTTATATACTTATTATTGTTCAGATTAGATTTGATCTTAATTGGGTGGCTAGAGCATGACCCAAGTAAGAAACTTTGTGTCAAATGATAATAAAAAGGTAGAATGACAACATCAAGGGGACGACAAGAAAATATTGAATCACAATGTAAACAAAAAAACGCCTAGAGATTGT